GTTCAAAAACAAAAATCTAGTTGGATACTTAACAATCTGGAGTTTTATAGTTTTTTACCTGCTCCACTGTGTGTATTTTCTAAAGAAAGAAAATCTGAAGATTATAACAGAAGTAAGAAGATGGAAATTAGAATTTTGAAACATGTCATCATACTTACAAAATCAACACCAATGGTACTGATATCTAAATATGAATCATCCTGCACATGATATACAAATTAAGATATCAACAACTTCAAAATTTAATCTATGTTAACAACCAGGAAACAAATATATCCAAGCAAACACCAAGGAAATCATACACTTAAACAAATAGATCCACCCAAGACACAGAAGCCAAGCCAAAGTGGTTGGTTTGTAGTATGTGACCAGTCCATGAGATGGTTTTTAATATTTTTAACTATGAATGCAGAATCGGCAATGGATGGATAGTTTCTACCTTGAAGTTAAAATGATATACCTAGGAATCATTAGAAACTTACTTAGCATAGTTTATTGAATTTTAAAAGGATCTCAATCACTAACAATAAAAACCATATGCATAACAAGGAAGGTAGTTTAGAAAGCAATGAAATGGAGGTCTCTCAACCAATAGTTTACAAACCTGTTCTACTTTGTCACATTAAGGCTATGTTTGGTTTGAAGGAAAAAGTAGGGAAAGGAAGGGAAAGACAGGGAAACCAATACAAGGGTTGTAAAGGTTCCTTTCCTTTCCCTACATTTTCCTTCAAACCAAACATAGCCTAAGGGAAGAAGATAGGATTTCAAAAATAAAACCATATATTGATTCTTTGTGTGAGAGAAGAACTTGTCAACAAGTTCAATGAACAACCTTTACTAGTTGATCTACGAAAAGAAGACAACCCTTACCCTGCTAATTCATTTATTTAAAATTACAAGTTGCTTTTCGTATTTTGGCCTTTGTTGCTTGTATCAACATAACCTTTGGCTGCTATTTCTTTGCTATTTTTTGCCATTGCTCTTTTGTTGTCATTGCACGGAGGGAAGAAAGGTTTCACAAATGATCATTTCATCCTTCTAGCAATTTATTTTTTGGGTTTTTTAGTCATTATCTATTCACTTAATGGAAGGGCAAAAATGACATTTCAACATTTTTGTTAACATTTAACGACAATGTTAACCGTCAAAAAACTTAAAGGTACTTTAAGAGATTTTTTAAACAATAAGGTAAGTTTTAGTCTATTCCCTAAAATTTAGGGGTAGTTTAAGTATTTAACCCTATTTTCAATCAATTCTACCTACAAATTTGGACATAGAGCCTAATAAAGATGACCCTACAAAAATATACCAACCCACATAAAGGTTGCTTAAGCTTGGTTTGACCTAACTTAAGTCAGAGCTCTACCCCAATTATGTTAGATTGATTTTGGGTTGGCCCTAGGTTGATAAACTTGGCTTAACTGTGGGGTAGGCTAGGCCTAAGCCAAGGTTTAAAATTTTGTTACGTATCGGCCCGTATCGGTTTTTTGACTTACCGGCACGAGAGACGGTCCTAAATTGAAGGTACCATTTCTTTTCGCTGTGCCAAAACAATATTAACTTTGTATCGGGCTGTTTCGGTATGTTTCAGCCAATATGCGATGAATTCACTGTTACAAATAGAATAGTCTTCGAAAGAGGGCTTCTAAGCCCATTTTAGAAGCCCTCTTTCTTCCCCAAACCCTCCAGAAACTTTCTTTACATTCCTAGAGACTCAAATCTAGAAACAAAAAATCCATCAAAATACCTACGAAATTGAAATATTCAACAAGTTTTTCAAGGTTGTTTAAAAAGTAGCGAAAATAGGATGTTTTTTCAAAATTTTTTACATTTTCAACCAATGTTTTTGGGTTTTTTAAATTTGGATGCTTGAGGAAATCTTTATGTATGTTGATCTGCTATTCTTGTGCAAAAAATCCCACTTATTTTGCTTCTATATGTAAATCTTTGTGAATATTTGTAATAAAAAATCTGAAAAAAATGAAATTTTTAGGTTTTTCTTTTGATCTACCTCTAGAAATTGATTATGTTGTAGATCTATGGATGATCTACCATGTCCACAGATCAATTTTATATTTTCTAAATAATTGTTTTTTTTTTATTTTTTAATTTTCGGAATAAATAAAAAATATATAATTTCTTTAATTTTATGTGATCTAACCCTATAGGCTGAGTATGTTGAAGATCTATGGATGATCTAAAATGTCCATAGATATGTCTATAGATCAAATTCATTCAAATTTTCTGTTACATATTTACTTTTCTTAATTTTAATTTAAATTTTAGAATAGAACATGAAAAATAATTATTAATTTGAATAAAAATAAATAATTATTTAGTTTTTAGAAAATTAGAATGAAAAATTCAAAATCATTACTTGATCTATTATGCTCATAAATCCATTCAATTTTTCTGTTACATATTTACTTTTCCTAATTTTAATTTAATTTTTAGAATAAAACAAGCAAAATAATTATTTGAATTAAAATAAATAACTATTAAGTTTTTAGAAAATTGGAATGAAACATGCAAAATAATTACTTGATATATTATGTCCATAAATCCATTAAATTTTTCTGTTATATATTTACTTTTTTTAATTATAATTTAATATTTAGAATAAAATATCCAAAATAATTATTTGAATAAAAATAAATAATTATTCAGTTTTTAGAAAAAATAGAATGAAACATGCAAAATAATTACTTGATCTATTATGTTTATAAGTCCATTCAATTTTTCTGTTACATATTTACTTTTCTTAATTTTAATTTAATATTTAGTATAAAACATCCAAAATAATTATTTGAATAAAAATAAACAATTATTCAGTTTTTAGAAAATTAGAATGAAACATGCAAAATAATTACTTGATATACTATGCCCATAAATCCATTCAATTTTTTCTATTATATATTTACTTTTCTTATTTTTAATTTAATTTTTATAATAAAACATCCAAAATAATTATTTGAATAAAAATAAATAATTGTTCAATTTTTAAAAAATTTGAATGAAACATGCAAAATAACTACTTGTTTTATTATGTCCATAAATCCATTAAATTTTTGTGTTACATATTTAGTTTTCTAAATTTTAATTTAAATTTTAGAATAAATTAATAAAACATCCAAAATAATTATTTGAATAAAATAAATTATTATTTGATTTTTAGAAAATTAGAATGAAGCATGAAAAATAATTATTGATCTATTATGTCTATAAATCCATTCAATTTTTTATGTTACATATTTATTTTTCTTAATTTTAATTTAATATTTAGAATAAAACATCCAAAATATTTATTTGAATAAAAATAAATAATTATTTAATTTTTAGAAAATTAGAATGAAACATGCAAAATAATTACTTGATCTATTATGTCCATAAATCCATTCAATTTTTTCTTTTATATATTTACTTTTCTTATTTTTAATTTAATTTTTAGAATAAAACATCCAAAATAATTATTTGAATAAAAATAAATAATTATTTAATTTTTAGAAAATTAGAATGAAACATGCAAAAGAATTACTTGATCTATTATGTCCATAAATCCGTTCAATTTTGCTATTACATATTTACTTTTCTTAATTTTAATTTAATTTTTAGAATAAAACAAGCAAACACATTGGAACTGAATTGAGTGCTTTATTAAATAGTATGTTTTTGTTCCCATATATTGATTATAATATGTTTTTTTCATAAAACCCACTAAAACATGTTATTTTTGTATAAATAGCCAATTTATGTCTTATATTTAGTAATGCTGATATTTATTTATGATTTATTTGATTATTTATAGTATTTCCATGCGTTTCCATGCATATCTTAATTTTTCATTCGTATCCCGATACGTCTCTTGAATTTGTCATTCTGATACGCATAACTTCTAAGTTATGTTTGGTGAAAGATCCAAGCTCAAATCAATTGTCAACGTATTGTTTGGAGTGTTGTTTGAGTTGCGCAGGGGCACCCTACATGTCACAGAAGCTTTGTTTACATTCTAGTGTTGAACTTGAAAAGCACCACTTATGTTTCATTCTTGGTGCCTGTTTGGGAGGGCTGAAGTGCAATAGCTTATGGCTTTCCAAGGTAGACCTTACATGAACAGCTTATAAGCTACGTTTGGTTAAAGATCCACGCCCACGTAGACTATTGAACAATCATTTGAAGGACCACGTGCTTTGGCGTCTTTGAATAGCTTATTTGGAATGCTTTAAAATGGGTGGCAATTCATGATTTCGTGTTTTAGTATCATATTCGTGTCATATCAAGGCAGGGATATTTGAATATATGGATTGATAAGAACATGACATGTTTAATTAATTATTTTAAAATTTCAAACATGAACATGACTCATGTAGCCTGAATTAATATGATTATCCTATTTAATTATTTAGTAAATGATGCATACAAGATTCAAAGTATCGATATGGTATGAGTTTCGGCTGTATCATATCGGCACTTAGAAACGGCTGAAATTCTTTATTTTTAGTTTTTTTTTTTTAATTTTGGTTTTTTGGGAACTTTTAACATGCTTTTTATTATTACAAAAAATTGAGAGTCCAAAACATCTAGAAACAGACATTTCAAATCATATCATTTTTAAAAGATACGATATAATATACCGGATACGTAGCATATCGTATTGATACTTTGAACCATGGATGCATATAACTCAAATTAATACTAAATCAACACAGTTAACATGTTTTAAATAATAAATAGATTTAAATATTAAAATAAACTTTCAATCATCTATTATCTAATTAAATTCATAAAATCCATTCAATGTCATACCATTATAGTATTTCATCCAGATATATATTTTCAGTCATAAACAGGTTATTTTCAAATTAATGGGTCATTCCATAATTGACACATTTATTAATCATTGTACAATTTTAACACAAAAAATATTAAAATAAACCCAAATCAACTAGCTTTATATCATATTAAAGTAGTATTCACATATCATATCAAATATTGCTAGCCCTATCTTCATAGCAGCTGAGCTCATTCTTCCTCTCACTCGCCCAGCCCTCTAAACGGCCGTAGATTGTTTCCGAGGCCCAAATATTTCCTACATTAGCTGACATCATTTCTTGCCCCAGCATCCGAACATTTCCTAGATTATTATTAGTTGACACCATCTCTTGGTAGCAAATTCGGTTATCCCTCTCACTGGCACGATCTACATTGGTTATGACACCTCTCTAGCTCTGGAGGTGCATCTCTCTCTCTCTCCGCCATGGCGAAACCCACTTCCTCAGTCTGGTTTCGACCCATGTATTCTCTTCTGGCCCCACGGGGCGACACTCTCTGGTACTGCCTAGCTCTACTCTCCGTGCTCTCCCTCCTCGGCCAAGAACTCACTCGTTGCTCCGCCCTCGCCGCTGATTTCGAAGGTTTCGGTGACGAAGGCGAAGAAGAAGAAACTTCCGATTCCCCTCAAATTACCGATCTACCCTTTCGTTCTCCTCTCCCTCCCCCAACTCTTACTCAATCCGACTTCGAAACCGACCATGGTCCTCCCCTTGAATCTCCTGCCGTCCCATCTCCACCGTCCGATCCCACCCCGAAACCCTCATCCACCACCTTCGATTACTGGGATGAAGATGAATTCGAGGGTCTCCCAGTTCAAGAACCTCAGCAAGACCAAAAATCGCCGGAGAACGTCACCCCATCGTCCCCCGGCGAATCTGATTCCAAGCCGGTGGAGAAGCCACCGCCAACTGTTCGATCTTACACTGTCGAGATCCTCTGCGGGAGTTTTTTGATTGCATTTATAATTAATTACTTCGCCGGAAGGAGAGCAAATGAGAATATTGCATTGGCTTGGGCGGCGATGTTTGCCACCAAGGATTCGATTTTTGATAAGAACTTCAGTCTTTTGGGGACTGGGGACGGTAAAGACACGCCTCTGCTGTTGAAAGAAGGGCAGAATGTGTTTAAATTCTATGCGAGCGGGAGAAGATACTGCCAGAGTTTGCTGGCGACGATGGAGCTTCAGAGTCGTCATGACTTGATATCGAGGATTTACAATTTTATTGTGCCATGTAAGGATGAGATTACTTTTGAGGTTTGCATGAATGATGATGCCATGGATCAGGTGGTTTTCGCGCTTGCCAAAAAGAAGGCTGCTAAGGTGATGCAGAAAGAAACTAAGGATCTTCAGAGGTTTGCGAATTTGGTCTCACAACCAACTAACAGAAAATGGGTTGTAGAGGATTTGTCTGTTATTTCGGAGTCAAGGGAAGTGGCTGGGGACCTTATCACTGAGGCTGTGCTTGATCAGGTACAGTTTGCTGCATTTTTTTCCTGTCTTTGGATTTTCAATTGTTTCTTGATTTTTTTTTTACATTATTGTGATTGCTCGTGTTTTTTTTTTTTTGTGTGTGTATTTGGATTATAAAAGTGGCTGGAGTTGCTAGAATTCTGTGGTTCTTTGGTACTATAGTGATGAAAAATTTAATGTTGCAATGCATTTCGGTGCTTTGATGGACAAGGGATTTATACTAGTACTCCATGAATTAATAAGAAAGTTTAGATGCCCATGACTTTTATTAATTGAGAAGTATCACTCGATAATTCGTAGGTCATGTTATTAATGTATGGATGCCCATGGATTTTATTAATTGAGGGGAAATGATTCTGCTTAATAAAGCCTTGTTTCAACTATATGGAGACTATCTGAGAAGGTAGAGAAGGAAAAGACAGAAAGGATGGATGATGGTGCTCTTATTTCAACTTTGCATAATAATATATTTCTTATGCAGTATGAGAACCATAATTAATACGGATACATAATGGAGAATCCTTGATTATGAGGTTGGAGTCCATGTAAATACCACATATTGCCTTCCTTTTTTTTCTTACATTATTATGTCCACTTGTGACCTTTTCAAGTGTGAAAAGGGTAGATTTATATACTTAGCCCTGAGCTTTAAAAGGTTCTTATTCTGAGATGTTTTGTCACGTACAAATTGTAAAAGAGAGATTATTAGAACTGATATTGCAATGTTTTGTCACGTATATTCTGAGATGTTTTGTCATGCCCAAAAAGATGGACAAGATCATGCAAACCTTCTACAGTTAGAGCTTGAAGGGGAAAGGACGACTGCTGGGAATGAGTGACTTTCAGGTTAGAAAAAGGAAGACACAATGAAGACAGTGGAGGAGAACACAAGAAGCGATTATGTCTGGAGCCCTGGCATAGGCAAGAATTCACCTGTTTGCTGCGAGCAATTTATGGCGGAAGTTGAAGGGGCGGCTCTAACGGAGGATGCCGGTACTCCATCTTCGACTCCTCAGGAGAATAAAGCTCTGTCCAGTGGCCCAAATGAGGACAGTAAAGAAGAGAAGCCCGGGCTGGAGGAAAACGGGGTCTGGAAAGAGTCTATTGTGGCTGACTCAGGAAGCATTTCAGGAAATTCCGAAGGAGGAAATGTTGGTCTGGATGTGGTTTGCTGCTCACCTACCCAAGCGGAGAAAAATGATTCTGTCCAATGGCAAATTAAGGAAGAGCTGACTGGTAGTTTTCGTGTGGATACGGGAAGGAGGGAGGAAGGTTTTAGCATCATCATTTGAAGAGATTGGGGAGGTGGATTCTCGGGCTCTCAGCAGTTCAGGTTATCAGGTGGAAAAAGAAATCCAATCTGCTGTCAGTTCTGAAGTGAGATTGGCTGATAGCAGTTTTGAGGAGTAGGAGGGATCTAGAAGAGTCCCTATCAAGAAAATTGTTGAGTGACAAGTTGAGATTGGTAAAAGTCTTAGCTTATTTTTTTTGGGGAGGCGAGGAGTTTACTAAAAAGGCTTTTGAGGTGTTTGCGAGAAAGAGGATGGAAGAGAGGTGTAGGAATTGGAGATCAAGAAAAAGGGTGATCTATGGGATGAAGAAATTGACAGGGAGAAGGAAAGTCTTGAGGAGGTGATGTAGAGAGATCGGGTGTATGATTTCTGATTAAGGTCTTTGAGTATGGAGTTGATTGAAGGTGGTTAATCATTAATGTGGAGTATTTTGTCATGTTTATTTTATGTTTTAGGCGGTCCTGGGTGTAAGTTTGTTAGTGTCCGTTTCCCTCTCGAGTGATTTCTTGTCACCTTTCTCGTGTAATCTCTTTTTCTTTAATGAAATTTTCTTTTATCCTTCAAAAAAAAAATATTGCTTTTGTGGCATAGGACCATCTTCTTTATTTGTTTGTACAAAAGGATAAATGTAGAAGATCCCTATTGAAGTCATTTTTCAATTGTCTTTTCCCTTTATGGAGAAAAAAAAAGGGAAAGAACAGAGGATTTTCCTGACTCTAAAAAAGGACAACCCAATGCATGAGGCTCCCACCAATGTGGGGTCTGAGGAGGGACAGATGTACACAGCCTTTCCCTTGCACATACAAAGAGGCTGTTTCCAAGTCATTTTTCAATTTTCCTGGTTCTGACCAAGACAAATACTGAGAATTAGGATAAAAAGTATCCACTTTATTTTGTGTATTATGTAGTACACCGTGCACAATACAAAGGGACTTAGGGGTGGGGCAGAGAGGGGTGCACATTAATTCCCCTGGCCATACCATGGAGAGCCTGCAATTCTGCAGGTTTAATCCCATGCCTCCCTTTTTTGTAGGGATGCTGAGTGACCGTCTCAACTATTGGGTCATTGGCTACACAGTTGAAGGTGACTGAAATTTAAAAGGAAGTCCCGCCCTTCATCCTTTGGTTAATACAATTCAGGGTTTTAAATTTTGTGGTGGTTCTTACAAATGTAGGAATTTCTTTCCAATATCAAGAGAAATTTGAATGTTATCTATGATATTATTCCGCAGAATCTTGTTTAATATGAAGAGAATATGTGAGATATATAAAACAAATATGTGAGAATAGTTGTCAAGGTGTGTAAGTAACTTTGATGGAAGTACTCATGGAAATCCGGGACCGGCCGGAATTGGAGAGAGTGATTAGAGATGGCAATGGAAACATTTGTGGCCTGTTTTCGGGGCCTATTGATTAGGGTGCTGAATTTTTGGTTTCTATTGTTGGGGTAGGAAAAGCTAAGGAAATGGGAATTACAAGACTGATTGTAGAAGGGGATTCAAAAATTGTCATTGGTTGGTTGAAAAAGGGAGAAGGGGTATTATGGCAATTCAGAAATGTATTCAGGTGGTTCAAGATAGTTGTGGACTGGTTAATTATTGAAGGTGATTCCAAAATAGTTGTGGACTGGTTAAAGAAGGGGGAAGGAGTGTCTTGGCATCTAAGGAATGATCTCAGACGGTTCAACTGTCTCTCAAAGGACATGCTCATTCAAGTTAGTTGGGTTAGAAGGTCTGCAAACAGCTTGGCAGATGGTCTAGTTAAGCAAGGGGTTCAAAGACAATCTATGTTTTGGGCTCATTTGTAATTCTGTGGGGGATTTAGACTTTGTCAAGTCTATTTGTTTATTCCACTACTTCTTTTTGAAGACAAGTCAAAATCCATTGATCTTCTGGTAGCTTCAGTGAGTAATCTGATAGCAGATTGGGTTCTACAGTTTCCAGAGTTAGATGAAGTAAACAAAGCTGATTTGTTAGAAAAATTTTGGAGTACTCTTGAGTTTCATCCCTGTAATGAAGATTTATTTTCAGTTTTGAGTGGTGTAACTTTGTTTGGTTTGTCAAATTGACAACAAATGACTTGTATTGTACCTCTTTTTCAGTTTAATGAAATTTTTTCTACTGATCCTTCAAAACAAAAAAATTCTTCCACCCAGTAGCTGGAGGGGACCCGACCTCATTTACTAGAAGGTGTTGGTAACTTGCGATATTTCCACGTCATATAAAATGGTAGGACTTAGGAGAGGGAATCTAGTCCTGAAGTTGGTTGTAGGGGGAGAGAAATTAATCAATAGGATAAAATAGCAAAAATCTTTGTCGATCATTTCAAAAATTTCTTTAGCACCCCTCAACAACAAAGATTAGATGTGGAAGGTCTAGAGTGGCCAACCTTAGGGAAAGTGCTGAAGATTGAAAAAGTTGTTTTAGGTTGAAATAAAAAATGCAATAATTTCAATGAAGAGATACAAAGCATTAGGGCCTGAACCTGATGGGTTTATAATGGTCTTTTATCAAGATTGTTGGGAGATCATTAGAGATGACTTAGCTGAAGTATTTGGTGATTTTTTTTTGGTAGAGGCATTATAAAAAAAATATTTGGGCCAATGCAACTTTTGTGACTTTGATTCAAAGATTAGAGAGCCAGCTTAACCTAAGGATTTTGGACCTATCATCATTGTGGGGAGTTTCTATAAAATTATTTCTAAGGTCTCATTTTTTAGGCTTTAGGAAGTGTTGCCTGCTATTATCTCCCAACCACATGGGACTTTTGTTTCAGGAAGACAAATTGTGGACCAAATATTGGTGGCTAATGAGCGTGTGCAAGATTTGAAGAGGGGAGTAAACAAAGGATGGGTATGGAAACCGAATCTCAAAAAAGATTATGGCATTGTAGATTGGTCCTCAGATTTGACATTGGAGAGGTATGGTTTTGAGGTTAGATGGGTAAAAGGATGTCTTTCCTCTTGTCATTATTCTATATTGATCAATGGGGTAGTTAGAGACTTCTTTCCTGCTAAAAGAGGCCTTAGGTAGGGTGATCTACTATCACATTCCTATTTACAATCATTTTAGATGTCCGAAGTAGACGCATTACTAGGGTTAGACAGGTTGGTCTTGATGAGAGGATAGAGGTTTGGAGATAGAGAATGTAAAGGTGGTTCATTTATGTTTTGTTGATGATGTTATTATCTTTTATGAGAAAATGGGTGAGGAAGGAGTTGGAAACCTTCAATTGTTAATAAAGCGTATGGAAAGGATATTGAAGTTAAAGGTGACTTGGAGTATGAGTTGTTTAGTGTGTTTGAATTTCAAAGTTCCATCAGTATAGAGAATTGCAAGATTATTAGGATGTGAGAGGGGGGAGTGCCCACTAAAATATCTAGGGCTACCTTTGGGAGGAATGCCTATAAGTCATAGCTTTTGGAATCCCATTGTAGATAGATTTTCCAAAACATTGACCAATTGGAAAAAGAGTTTTATATCTTTTGGGGGGTCGGATGACATTTATTGAGTTCACTTTAGCTAACCTACTTATCTATTTTCTCTTTGTGTTCAAGGTCCAATCCTTTATTGCAAACTGGTAAAAAATTATGAAAGAATTTCTTTGGGAGCTAGGAGCTAGTAGGAAGGGCCATTTAATTAGTTATGACATTGTTTGTAGACGGAAAAAGGAAAGGGGGGTTAGGGATTACCAAATTGGCTATCAAAA